GGAGAATTCTTTGTTTCTGAAGAAAAAACTTCTTGGGTATTCTTTTTTTTTTAACATACCTTCAAATGTTTAAAGAACATAGAACGTGGTACGGGTTCCGAGTTGTGCCTCATTTCTCTATACACACTCAGAGTGCTAAAACTTAACCATTTTTTCGGTCGGGTTCTGTATAGTTCTGAGAGGAAAAATTACAGATTTCCAGTCAATTAAATGTGAAGAATCTAAATATTTTCTGAAGTATGATGATGAAAAAATAGAAAGGATTTTTGTACAAGTTTACTTGCATACCACATTTCCCATGTGGTACTGTTACCTCCTTAGGCTTGACACTGGTACCTATAATAATCAGGCTTTCTGTATCTAACCCAAACCTCTGATGTATCTTGCCCTGCACCGCTCTGTGTTAACATGGTCCTAATCATTACTGCAGCAGAAAGAAGGTTAAAACGGTACATCCACCTGTATGGCATTATGTATAATATTTTTATTAAAAGTGTGTATTTGTTGTGACTGCAGTTTTTATACCCTGACATGTTCATTATTCTGACTGGTGCCAGTGGCCCCACGGCATAAATCGTGTAGTGTATTCAGATCACAGGCACCAGCCAAGGCCTGGGATTTTTGGCCGGAACCAAATATTGCCGTTTTGGAGGAGGAAACCTTGCCCTCTGCTGGCCTAAGTCAGAGGGAACCATCCAAACGAGAAGAAGTGGTGCCACAGGGCTAGTGAAAGGTAGCGCGCAGAATCGGAGGTGGCCCAGGACCGTGCACGGTCCCTTACAGTAGGTTATAGCACACTGCGTTGTGCTGCGAGGATCACGCGTTCTCCCCTGTATTCTCTCTTTTCTTCAGAATGAGGGATGACACAAAGGTTCTGTCATCTGGCTCTTCGGAGGTGGAGAGAAAAACGTCTGCTTTTTTAAACAGTGAAGCTGCCCGAAGCAGCGGAGGTACCTCAAGCCTTTCCTACCGTACAGAAAAGCGAGTACTCCTAGGCGCGATGTACTGCGACGGGCACACCTGAGGAGAACCCCTTGGCGAGCTCTCCTCCAGCCGGCTTTGCGCAGCAGGACGCGCTGCACGCTCCCACAGCGTCACACTTGGTCCCCGCTCCCTCTGTACCTGGAGCTTGGGGGGGGCCTCTAAAGAGCTGCAGGAAATTGTCACTGGATTTATGTAAGGGTCTGGTGTGACTCACGTGCGCTTTCTGGCTGCGGACTGTATAATGTGTAACGCTTACGTATCGCAGTGACAAAACCCGTAATGGTTTCTGCCGGTGGTCTTTGTTTTAACAGACGCCGTGGAAGGTTATCGGGATTCACCATATCCAGAAATCGATGATTTTGTTCGTTCTTTGGTTAATAAAGACGGGGTGCAAGGAGGTAAAGACCACTTTACTGTTTACAAATGAGTATTCCACAGTGATATTTTTAAATAGCTAACGATTTTTTTTTTTTTCTCCCCCAGGAATACGGCAATGGTATTATTTCTCTCTGGAAGAAATACTTGTATATGATATTTCTGGTTACCGTTGGTGTGAAAATATTGGAAGAGCTCACAAAAGTAACAACATAATGTATGTTCTATAACTATTTGCTTTAAAACAGCTTTGTTTATTTTCCTGCTCAACTGTCACTCTGTAAAAATGCTGAAACGCTCTTCGGGATCGAATCAGCACCTCTTACAATTTTTGCTCTCTTGCTCTTTGGGGATACAACGCTCTTTTTTTTTTTTTTTAAAAAAAAAAAGGCAAACCGTTTCCCCCCTAAATTTACTCTGTGATAACTGAACTTGTATTTCTAATATTTCTATGAAGTAATCTTCACACTATTTAAAATATGCGCCTAAAGATGCTGACACACAAGTCGGAATGCGTTAGAGCTATCAAGTGGTACTGTGCTTTGGTGCTTCTTAGCTAGGAAGCTGAACAATCAGAAGTCAGGTGACGAAAACAGACCACTTTTAAATTCCTTTAAAATGCATCTTAAACTGCATTCTTGTGTTGTTAGAATGACAAAGGTAACTCCTGCCACCGCTTCAGTCAAGAGGAGTTCTGCCAGTGACTCTACAAGGACTCGGACTTCTCACAGTTTTAGCAAAAGAAGTGTTGAAAAGTCAGGGTTTCTAGATGACGTTAGAATTGCGGTGTATCATTAGTAGAAATATTTTAACTTATAAATAATTGTTCATAACATTTAAAATAACTGAAAGGTAAGGAATGTGTTTTTTTACGAGAAATCTAGGTATAAAAAAACCCTCCACGGCCACTATGCTGAACCTGATGTTTCTCAAGCAGGTTGCTGGAAGCTTGGTGTTTCCAAAGCACAGCTTAAGGAGCCGGGTTGGCTAACCAGTTGCCAGGAAATAGTGATTGTATCTGCCTGTTATAATGACACTATCGGTAACGGCAGCAGCACAAAATCTTATCTTGCAGTTAGGTCCCATATACTAATGTTACTTTAACGACTATTTCCTCCAAGCTTTATGTAATGAAGTTAACTAAATTTCACTTTTGAATGTTAGTCTTAAACATATTTTTAACTTAGGAAGCCTGAAGTTTATGAAAAACATAACAGACTGTACAAAAAAGTATGTAATAAGTATGTCAGAGTATGAAAGCAATATTCTTAGAGGGGGACAAACAAAACCTGTGCAATTTAGGGTCGGTTTCGTACTGAATGCATGCACTTCATTTACCTACTGTCACTAAAAACTAAACATTTCATCCTCAGGATTCTGGTAGATCTAAAGAAGGAAGTCTGGTATCAAAAGTGTCACGATCCAGTCTGCAGAGAAAAAAACTTCAAATCACAAAGTATGTATTCGGTGCTTTCAAAGCAATTACACATAATAGTTTTTGGAATGTTAACTTGACTTAATGCCATGTGTTTGGTTTAGGTTTTCCACTGCCGCCTCGGATATGTCTCCCTTTTCTTTTCAGAGAGGTACGTTTCTGTCCTATCGATACGCTAAAGTTCTTGTGAGGAAAGCTGTCTCTGGAGGGCAGGGAAAATCCCCGCTCACAGAGTCTGCTGAGCTCCATACAGTAGTTACACTGGGACAGAACAGCTCCCCAGAGCAGCTGTGCTGCTGTGGTAGCTCCGTGTAGTCATTTTTAACTTCTCCAGCAGCAGATCTAGCACAAAAACCATCAGCCCAGATAAAACTAAGTTACTGGAATAGCCTAACTTCACCTAGGACTAAAGCTGTTCATCTGGTTGGGTCTGAACAGCAGCTCCCACTGCATAAACCACAAGACCATGACAAGTGCAGAATGGAGAAACTGCCCAAGCTAAGCTCTGCATGTTTGACTTCACGCTTGGCCCACTAAAATAGAAGTGGCTCCTGGAACACGAGTCAGTCAAGAGTCAAATTTAAGTCAGTGACCCTCAAATTTGAAGTTTGCTTAACTCCACTTTAGTGTATGAAAGCAGTTATGTTTACCCCCTAGGGCAGAGTATTTAAACCGCCCTGATACTGCACCTAGATTCTGAGCCTTGAACATAGTAGTATTTTCCACTGAGTAGGCAATGAGTTGGCTTCTCTGCAACTTTCAAATTTAGATTTTGTACTTTTAAATTCCATACTGCAGAATGGCACATTAAGCTCTACTTAAGCAGATCATCAACAGCTATTAGTGTTATTTCATAGGAAGTGTCATTTAAATGCATTTTCAGATCCTGACGGTATCATTAAACAGACACTAAAATTAGTTTTAACCTTATATTATTTTAATAAGCCATGTATAACAGACTAGTTGTAGTTTGGTAGAAAACTAGCAAATTTCTGTTCCTGTCAAAATAGACTTCCACAGGGTAAGGTGGCTTTAAATTACCCTGCTGGAAAATGTGTCTTGTTGGCCAGCTTTCTATAGTATCCACTACATGCGACAGTACGAGTTTCAAACTTGCAGATGAGAGCAGTCAAAGATACGAAGACCATTTTCATATGGAATAATAGCACTCTTGTTTCTAAAGGAAGCAGAGGACACACTAATGGATGAAAGAGGGAACACAGCAGAAGTAAAACCCCATTCTAATGCGGCAGACTTGTCACAAAGCTCAGCACCTCTAGAAAAAAGCTTGTCTCAAGCCTGCCTGTGGTCAGACAGCGAGTGGGACAGCGCAAGCAGCGATGCCTGGTTTCTGGAAGCTACTGAAGACGTGGAACTAGCTGAAGCTGCAAATGATAGTCTGAATTCTGCCCTGGAAGAAGTTCCCGATGAAGTTCTTCTGGAAGCTTTTGGGACGCAGGACACTTGCTGTAAAGGCGGGAGCTAAGCACAGACCTGGCTAGCGAACAGGCTGCGAGCAGTGAAGCTTGCGCATCGCACGCCGTCTGTGAGACGCTGCGATGGCGTTCAGAAGCGCTCTTCCAGCGCTGTGAGACAAAGGACTGAGAAGCTGCTAACAGAGAAGTGGATGATCAGAGATGGGTGGGCTTCAGCAGGCACGAAGACTACACGGGGGCTGATGAGTCCCGGACTGAAGACTCGTCATGAATGCTGCTCCAAGCTTAGCAGTTTTATCACTCTCTGCTGTGACGTTTCTGTTTCGTTAGTTACCTGTCCAGGCTTTACTGATAAGCCAGATAACACAGATTTCTTTACTTCCAGAAATGGGAGGAAATTATTTATTTCAAATACAAATTTAATAAAAAGATCTATAACTAGTTCGACCAAAGTCTGTGTATTCTCTTTTAAAAGTATAGAATGCTTTCAGATCACATTAATAGCCCAAGATTAAAACCCAACATTGCTAACAGAGCACAGAGAAGTTTTAGTAGTTTTAACTGGAATTGCTATTTCACTAATTTCACTGACATTCCGAGTAAGTTCCTACACAGACTATATGACAATAGAAGATACAATCTCTGATTACGTCACCTGACTTCTTTTAAACATTGAAGCAAAACAGAGCAACGATGATTCAACAAAGTTTAAGCCCTATCCATTCTAGTAATTGTTCCTAACAAATGTCAAAAAGTCTATGAAAAAGCACTTAATGTTTCTGTGATAACTTCCCTCTTTGTACCGCCAGAGCCTCTTCCAGTTTCGTATTAATATTCTGAAAGTGTCTTTCTGCTCCTAGAACTCTCCGCGACTCCACCAGAAGAGCAGGTAGGCTGGAAGTTCCATACTGTTGTTAAGGAAATAAAATGGCAAGACAACATCTTTAACTCTTGGAAAAATCACTTGCATATCTGTATTTATTTGTCCTCTATCTGAAATGGTGCAATGTAATTTTTAAAAGTGAAGAACAGCCAACATTAGGGAGTCCTCTGGAATGGCAGGATTTCGCTGTCCACGAAACCCCTACCATTCTGTGATTCTCTGAGCCGCGGTGAAAGGGGAAGGAGCTCTGCGACCACGCGAGAAGGTGATCCGGTCATGAGGTACAAGCGCTGTTCTTAGCATTCAATACCTTATAGAACAGACACAGAAGTACCTGAGCTTTTCCCTTTTCTGTTGTTGTTATTTGAACAATAACAACAAAAGAAATTAATTACTTGTTTCCCACTTAATCTATCTTCAATTTCTATGAAAAACCAAAAAGATTAGACCTGAGGAAAACTTAGACTTCTGTCCTACGCCAAAAGGTAACAGAATCCTCTCTCAAATACTTTGGTTTTTAATACAAAAGCAAAAAAAAAAAAAAAAAAAAAAAAAAATCCGGAAAAAAAAAAAAAAAAAAAAGATGCTGCAGTACAGTTACAGCAATGATTTGCAAGTTGGTTCCATAAAGACAATTAACAAACTATTGCTATTTAACGTAAGTTAAACAATAACAGAAATGCCCGTCAGTCCAGGAAAAAACAAAAAGGGGGCCGATGCAGAACAGTTCAGAAACACAGGTGAAATATGTACTTACTACCACTTTTTCTTTTGGGTTTTCTTCTCTGTAATCCAGACAGTCTTGCTGTAGCTCCTTTAAATCAGTAAGTAGTTCAGTCGCCTGCCTCAGGGAAGATTTCCTTTCCTGTACCTCAGCATATTCTCTTTGAAGTTTTATCAGTTGTGGTTCAGCTCTGAAATAGATCAAGGCTTTTATGACTATATTTGAATACTTATTTCATGAGTAGCTATGAACATAGTTCCTCTAAAGAAGAGGTAAGGGAGAGGTCGGTGGGAAGTACAAAGCAGACGTTAGCAGAACATACTGCTTCACTGAACAACCAGCGCATTATTTACATGGGAGCCCAGGTCCGAATCGCCCCCAAAAAACCCCAGACTTTTTTCCCCACCTCGCTTTTGAGTCTGACGATACAGCCGCTCTCTCCTAAGCGCTTACAGCTTTCAACAGAAGCAGCGCCCGGTGTTCTGCTCCTGCACACACCTGCTTGCAGGCTGAGGTGTTCCGTGCTTGCGCTGAAGCACACTCGGGATCTACAAACTAGATACACCTCTGCCTACGGAAGCTGAAGGGCTCAAGCCGCTAAATCAGCACTCCAGAACCTGAACACCAACAGCCATTTTCATTTAACAGCATTGCAGCAGAAAAGCTTGCTTAAAATGATCAAATGATTAAAACACAACAAAAAAATACGCGAAGACAGCTTTCAATCTGTGCAGGAGTTCAAACCCATACTGAGGGACGTCTTCAGTTATTTCTTTGCGTGAAGTTTGTCCGTAGTACTGCAAAGAAAACCAGACTCTCATGGCCACGAGAGAGGCCTTGTCATCTGCCTCCGTGGATGCAGGCCCGTGGTCGCTGACAGAGCTGGCATGTATGCTGCACGCAGCTTGAGTGTAAAACTCGTCACTAGCAACCAGCTGGCTTTGGGGAAGTCTAACGGTTCTTCCAAATAATGTAATTTCTGTGTTGTGTATCTAAATGATACTTGAGATTAATGCCAAGTTAGAGGAGATGGAAGCAAACCATGTATTCAGAGTTGTTGCCATACTGCCGAGGTGAAATACACTCTCCCACCCCAAAAGCCCTCTGCATTACCCTTGTGAATTTATGATTCACCACCTCTGCAATTCCAATTGTAGCGTCAGGGTTTTTCTTACAACAGGCGGTCTGAAATACCACCCCCGTTACCCGTTAGCTAAGAGAACTTGCAGGAATGACTGCCTAGGTAACTGAAACATGGAAAGGGGAGGTTACCCTCATGAGCTCTTGTAAAAACAGAAAGCAATACAGAACAGAAGCAGAGTTTCATCAAAATAAAATGAAAGAACAAAAAAAGTGACTTCCACTTCTCAGTTACAAAACACAACAGACTCCTTAGTTCTTCAGGCTGTTACTGGGCATCGTTAGAAACATACCCAATTAGCTCTTCCCTGAGTTGCAACAGTCGCTGCCTTTTCTTTTTGATGTCTGTTATTACCTGAAACAAACAGCGAGGAAAGTATTTGGAACAGTTTCTGTCACTACAAAGGCAAGCAACTCAAATGCCATCGGCTTTTTTCTTTGAGGTTTTACGCTCCAGATTCTGCGTGTGGAAGATTCCAAGATACCACACCTTACAAACTGCCATATCTGAAATCCATATTCTAGACATTTCAAAGAACTTTAATGTGTCAAACCCTCCTCTCCTTCTCTTAAGGGACATGGGATTTACAAGCATACAAAAGGAGTTTGTGACATTTTGAACTCAAATGTGATCAACTCTGGCAGGTTTTTGTTTATTTCTGTTTGAAAAATGCAGAGTGGTATGAATGTATGTTCAGTATGATTGCCAAAACTCAGGAACTAAGCATAAATAAGCTTTTTTTAGTACAACATCCAATTAAAAAAAAAATATAAATTTAGAAACTACAAGTTTTATTTTAAACAAATGTATAAAAGGCAAAATACAGACAACTGAGTGTCCATGAATGCTAGATGTGTATTAAAATTTGCATTTTACATGCAGAGTACCTTACTGTATCACCTCAAATTAACAAGACTTTAGCACATTAATTGCTACCTCGCAGAATAAGCTTTGTGCCGACTTGTTAAGAGCTATTTTGTCATCAAAAAGTTTGTGGAAGAGGTTAATCTGCGCAGAAAGCCCCTGGCAGACAGTGCCTGGCCTTCTCTCAAGTATCTCCGCTGTAGGGCATGAAACCACGGCGATGTTTTCCTGCCCGTACCCCAGTTCCCCCTCCTGTAGACATTCCCCTGTCGCATTTTCAGTGAATTCCGACTCGCTCTGAACAAACCGAGGAACTGCCTTCCTCTGAACAAAAATCTTGCATATATTTAGGGAACGCCGCTCCCTTAGCCTTCTCTCCTTTAAACCAATCAATCCAATTCTATCCTCACAGCTTTGCTGCTCTCTTCTAGATTTTATGTTCATTTATATTTCTTGAAGGTTAGCTCTCAATATTTAATTAGCTCTCCAGAGGCTTCACTGGTGATCGTTACAGAAAAGAGTAATCCACATGCATAGATACCTACGCACCCTAATGTGCGCTCCTCCTTACACCAGTGTAGCGCTGTATGTATGGAGCTTGAGATCCATCGTATTTCCTCAGACCTTTCCCAAAAACACTCCATCCTCTATTTGTGCAGTTGACTCTGTAGTACGGTACACTTTTTAGTCAATTATTTCATTTCTTTCAGTCAACTTTTTGAAATTTCAGTGCCCACCTGTGTGCGCTGTACAGTCTAGCGACAGTACATCTTTCAAATATGTATTTACCTTAGCATTTTTTTTCTTCATATTCTTGAATTCCTGGACTTCCGCTATCTACAGAGGAAAAGAAGGATTACGGATTGACTATGGATCTTGATTTCATCTCTATCCTCCTAAAACCCCGGGTGCAAGAATTACTTTGGAATAGCATAGAAAGCTGTTTATAAAACCAGCACCGGTTCAAAGGAAGATGACAAGTGTATCAGTTGTGGATCGATGCTTTCCTCTCCCCTCACGCCAGAGGAAGACTCACAAAATTCATCGTCTTGCACCAGTTAGTGCAGGTAATACTCCTTGTACCAATCAGTGCAATAACTACCTAGCTTATTTTTGCTATAACTTTTATATAAATGTATAAAACTAGTCATTTCAAAACTCACTCCTTGTAATGAATTCCTTAGAACTACAGTTTTAGTACTTATCCATTGTATTTAACAATTTAAGTAATGTGCAATGCACAGCTCTATAATCACTCCCACAAATATTTGCTTTATTCATGGTGTACTTACCAGATCAGTGATTTGGTCCTTGAAAGCAGAACAGAAGTCATTGACAGCTTTTCTGCAAACGTTTGATTCTATGCTTTGTCTGGAGGAGTCAGAGGGACAAAACACAGCCCATTTGGTTTAGTAAAGGAGAAATCTCATCCCAAAACATTCCTTTGAGTAATGAATAAAACCCAGTGTTAAGCAGCTAGTAGCACAGGCCCCTGCGGATCTTTCATGTACTAGCAACAGCTTAATTTCTACATTGAAATACATGAACTGAAATGTGTTGTTGTTATGTTTGGAAAAATATCAAATTCCTGGAGATCTCCTCAAGATCACATACGAAAAATATTTGTATTGCAGAAACCTAATAATCATTAAAATAACATCAGAATGCAACCATGCAATACGGCATTCCCTAAAGGATGGCCCTTCAGCAAAAGGCGGGTAATTTGTTTTTAAAACTTTTTGAGTATCGAGCCATAGGAAAGCAGAATATTTACCCGTAATTTGCTACTATGTTCTCAAATTCACCCAGAACAACATCCAGTTCTGTAACATCTCTGGGAGCTCTCTTCAGCTCTTTGGGACACCAAACCTGTACAGAACACGGGCTGTCCACTGAAACAACAAAATAACGTTAAGCGTTGTACAATTCAGATACATGTTCTAAAATAACAGAAAAGTTAGTACACCCACCATAAAAATAACCATCTAAAAGTTATGAATATTTTCATATGAAACTTGAGAAGAGGGAAATATGAATTATTTCGTCTGTCTTTGGCTGAGCAACTATGACAGACTCATCTGGGAGCACTTTAGAATTTGGATGATCAATTATATACAATTTATTTCTTATTCTTCATCATTTCAAACAAGCCCAGGAGCACATTCTTACACTAACTGACAAGCCATACAGTGTATTGTACACACAGCTGTTTGTGCTGTGAAAACTCTCAGCTTGAGTTTGGGCAGCCTGCATCACTCCAAGAATCACGAGTCATTACAGCATACTTGTAAGCATTTTGTATTGATACCATATATGCTTCAAAAAAAAGCTATATATGAATATTTTTCTTGAAACTTTGCAACAGCATTATTAGCTAATTCCACAAAACCTTAAACCATGTTTCTTCACACACTCCCCAGTGTAAATCTAGTCCTTGAACGTGACGGGGTACAGTTCACAGGAAGCAAGCCGACACCTGAGAAACAGTTTGCCTATACCAAAAAATGCCGCTGTCTGGAAGCTCCCTATCTCCAAGGCCTTCATACCAGCAGCTGGGCCTACGCTGCCAGTCAGGGGCACTCCGAGCTCTGCCCCACCGCCTGGTGCTCCAGGCTTCCAGGCCAAGCGACACCCTGAAGCCTCCTACAGCTCCACAGCCACGGAGCCAGCCTTCCCTCTGCGGACTGCGTGCCAGGGACAACACACACCTACGCTTCACCCCTTCCGGGGAGGAACAGGCAAGTGCAGGGATGCAAACCGTGGGGATCAGAGCTGCGTGGCACACCAGCTCCTCTGTTTAACCATTGCTAATTAGCGTCTAGACCAGAACTGAAAGTAAAACCTCCCATCTGCAGAAGCAGTATGTTGCTGCCTATCAGGAATGAAAACTGCGGAGTTATGGAAAAGCACTCATCCTGAATGAGGAAAAGCCATACGGGCGTTTTGAAAAGTCTGCGTTACCAGAAGGATCTGACGTGTTCTTCTCCGAAGGCGGCTGCTTCTTTTTTGCCTGGAACTGAGTAGCATTCAGAGCCTTCTGTGATACAAAAAGCAGATTAACTTAATAAAAGACAACCCTAGGTTTACTCATTTAAAGTTCAGAGAGATGGCAATTAGGCAGAGCACATGGAAGTATCTCAGCTTTTCACGACTGAAACGTCAGTAACATTTACTCAGGGCTACTTCGCCAGAACCACAGCACAGCGATCGCGCTGCTGCGGGACCGCAGCTGCCTGACCGCGCTGACCGACTGACACGTCAGCCTCTGCCACACAGCCGGAGGAACGTTGTGAGGGGCGTAGGGCCCATTGGATCAGCACCATCGCCGCTCGGTATTAACAGTTCTCTGATCAACAGTGCCTGCCTGCCTTCTGTTTCAGCCACGTTCCGCCCCAGTTCTGTCTCTGCTTAGACTACTTTGTGACACCAGCACAAAGCAGTAATTCTACAACACTGCTGCATACGTGCAGTTTACTGATGGAAGACTACTGCTCTGCACTGAATTTTACAAAAGGATTTTCAACAATTCCAATTAATGTCACTACATTAAAAACTTCTATGCAAACTACTGCATAGCTTCTTTTACCATAGGCCTACTTTCTCAAGTCTGCAGTTAACTCTTCTTCTGTAGACCTGGAAGCTAAGAGGGCCCAAAGCATTTTACACTAATTGCAGTCTAAGTGTGGAAAAACACTCATTCAAAACCAAGTGGTTTTTGTCTAATTCCAATATATAATAAAAATGAATTTTATCAATGGAAAATTCAATTCTCTCATAAATATGTTCTTACCTCAATACTGAACAAGTACGAGGAATTTATATTCCATTTAGTATGCTATTCTTTAAGAACATATATTCCAGACATAAAGAAGAAAAGAACATATTCCCAGCTGAGCAAGAGAACGGGCTACACGGCACAGGAACACCTGGCTACTATATTCCCTGTGGACACGATGACTGTAGCTTTAAGTATTTCACTTGGCCATCTCACAAGAATACTCTGAGGACACAATTAAGTACTAAGGAAGGACTAAGACACAAATGAAAGGTCTTGCTCTCCCCTCCTCTCTGATGCAGGCAAGGCATGAAGCAAGTTAAAATTAAATTAACTGATATACTGATGCAACTTTCTCTGTACCACGTTCTCCTTAAGGGGTTCATCTTCAGGACCAGCTGTGCTGAATTTCGGCGCATCACCACCAGATGTTTTCGAGTGACGCGGTTTTTTACTAGGAAAAAAAAAATATCCACATGTAAACGCGATACACGCTGAGAAAGAATGATCTTCAACCATATAAACAACAAAACCTGACATTTTGGGCAACATTTTGTATTGCTATGTCATTCAGTTTGTGCCCCCTAAATCAGCTCCATACAAAGTTGCAAATGGCGTATAAAGGGAACAGAACCTTTACCCCCTACCAGCAACCCTTGCGACAACTGGAAATCCATTACTAACTGACCACTGGGATAGCCCTGTGGTTTTGAGGAGAAACTTTGAAAGGGAAACAGAATTATTATTGAGGATATTTTAGCAGGAAAGGATAAGGCTTTCTCAGTGGCGGGGCGAGGTTAGAAATCAAAAAAACACACTCTCATGCAAGTTCTATTATTGTCTTGCTATTTCATTCAAGAACTGTTTCAGATTTAAACCAAATTTGATTTAACAAATAAGAAACATACTAAAACCTGCACTGAAGATTTTTTTAAAATTAATTTTCTTTGTTACATATAGTTTAACTGGCTTTTACCTATTGTAAAAAATTGTATTTTACCTTTTTAACTTCAAAGACACCAGCATTTAGAAGACTAACTAATATCTCACAGAGATATGACATGGCTACAGCCTGTTCAGAGGGACAGGAGGTGAGGAAGGAGGGGTGGAGGCGCTGCCTTCTACATCAAGAAACAGACAGGGTGTGCAGAGCTGTCTCTGAATCACAGCCACGAGCAGGTCGAAAGCCTATGGGTAAGAATCAGAGACCGAGGCAACACAGGGAACCTTGTGGTTGGTGCCTACTCCAGGCTGCCCGATCAAGGTGAGCCTACAGACGAAGCCTTCTTCCTCCAGCTCCAGGAGGCTTCGCGCTCGCAGCCTCTCGTCTTGCCAAGGGACTCCAACCACCCCAGTACCTGCTGGAAAAGTAGCAGGGCGAGCAGCAGACAATCCAGGAGACTCCTGGAGCATACTGAGGATAACTCCTCAAGCCAGGTCACAGACAGCCCTACCAGAGGGGATGTGATACTGGACCTGATGGTCACCAATGCAAGGGAGTTCATTGGTGACATCAAGACTGGAGGCAGCCTGGGCTGCAGTGATCATGCATTGGTGGAGTTCACAGTCCAGAGGGATAAGGACCAGGTGAAGAGTAAAGTCAGGACCCTGAATTTTAGGAAAGCAAACTTCCAGGGAAACGGTCCTCAGGGACAGGGGGGGCAGAACAGAGCTGGCAGATCTTTCAAGATGCTTTCCATAGAGTGCAAGAGCTCTCAGTCCCCAGGTGTAAGAAATCAGGAGAAGAAAGCAAGAGAACAGCATGGCTGAGCTGAGACCTGCTGGTCAAACTAAAGGGCAAGTGGGAACTGCACAGGCAGTGGAAGCAGGGATAGGTATACTGGGAAGAGCACAGGGACGCTGCCAGGCTGTGCAGGGATGGGGTCAGGAAGGCCAAGGCGCAGCTGGAGCTGAACTTGGCAAGGGATGCAAAGAATAACAAGAAGGGCTTCTACAGATATGTCAGCCAGAAAAGGAAGGTTAAAGAAAGCATACTCACCCCATGAACAAGAATGGCGACCTCGTATCAACAGACAAGGAGAAGGCTGAGGTACTCAACAACTTTTTTCCCTCAGTCTTCACCGGCAGCCTCTCTCCTTGCCCCTCCCAAGTTGATGGATGACAAGATGGGAACCAGGGGGGTAAAGCCCCTCCCCATGTAAGGGAAGACCAGGTTCAGGACCACCTGAAGAACCTGAACATACACAAATCTGTGGGACCTGACGAGATGCATCCCAGAGTCCTGAGGGAATTGGCTGATGTCATTGCCAAGCCACTCTCCGTGACAGTTGCAAGGTCATGGCAGTCAGGCAAAGGCCCTGGTGACTGGAAGAAGGGAAACATTGCACCCATTTTAAAAAAGGGTAGGGAGGAGGACCTTGGGAACTACTGACCTGTCAGCCTCACCTCTGTGCCTGGTAAGATCATGGAACAGAGCCTCCTAGAAGCTGTGCTAAGGCACATGGAGGACAGGGAGGTGATTCGAGACAGCCAGCATGGCTTCACCAAGGGCAAGTCCTGCCTGACCAAACTAGTGGCTTTCTATGATGGTGTGACTAGATCAGTGGACAAGGAAAGAGCTACAGATGTGATCTACCAGGACTTCTGTAAGGCCTTTGACATGGACCCCCACAACATCCTTCTCTCTAAATTGGAGAGATAGGGATTTGATGGATGGACTGTTTGGTGGACAAGGAATTAATTGGAAGAGATCGAGTGCACCCTCAGAGAGTCTTCAGATGACACCAAGCTGAGTGGTGCAGATGACACACCAGAAGGATGGGATGTCATCCAGAGGGACCTGGACAAGCTCGATAAGTGGGCCTGTGTGAACCTCATGAGGTTCAACAACGCTAAGTGCAAAGTCCTGCATCTGGGTTGGGGCAGCCCCCGCTATCAACACAGGCTGGGGGATGAAGGGATTGAGAGCAGCTGTGCTGAGAAGGATGTGGGGGTATTGGTGAATGGAATGCTGGACACGACCCAGCAATGTGCGCTCGCAGCCCAGCAGGCCAGCCGTACCCTGGGCTGCCTCCCCAGCAGCGTGGCCAGCAGGGCGAGGGAGGGGATTCTGCCCCTCTGCTCCGCTCTGGAGAGACCTCACCGGGAGTCCTGCATCCAGCTCTGGAGCCCTCAGCACAGGACAGACATGGACCTGTTGGAGTAGGTCCAGAGGAGGCCACAAAAATGATCAGAGGGCTGGAACACCTCTCCTGTGGGGAAAGGCTGAGAGAGTTGGGGCTGTTCAGCCTGGAGAAGGCTGCAGGGAGACCTTACTGTGGCCTTCCAGTACCTGAAGGGGCCTACAGGAAAGATGGCCAAAATCTTTTTAGCAGGGCTTGTTGTGAGAAGGCAAGGAGTAACAGTTTTAAACTAAAAGAGAGCAGATTTAGACTGGATATAAGGAAGAAATTGTTTATAGTGAGAGTGGTGAAACCCTGGCCCAGGTTGCCCAGAGAGGTGGTCAATGCCCCATCCCTGGAAACATTCCAGGCCAGGTTGGATGGGGCTCTGAGCACCCTGGTCCAATTGAAGATGTCCCTGCTCAGTGCAGGGGGGTTGGACTAGATGACCTCTAAGGTCTCTTCAAACCTAAAGCATTCTGTGCTTCTATGAGTCTGTATTTTAAAATCCTTTAGTGTGAAAAACAAATACAGTAAGTACTTAAATCAATGTACTGCTTGCAAAAGGCAAACACTAATTTATTCTCCCATTTCTTCTCTACATTCCCCAATCTTATTTATTCCTTTGGTTTCTCATTTGGGAAAATTAAAGTTAAAGCATCTGTTTAATAAGCAACTAGGGAAACCCATTTAATATAAAAAACTAAAGATTAAATGAAATGCTGGCAATTTTTTTTTTTCACCAGACCTTCTTTCTGTATTTTTCCTTGGTGGAGCTGAAACACGACCAAGTGACTCGTGCGAATGTTCCTCTCCGTAAGCATCCACAGCGGTACTGTGCAAAGGGTGATCTATAAAGAACAGGACACAAGCTGTAGGAAAATGGTTCCCAATCGTTCAGGCAAAGAGCATGGACGTGCTAGCACTGCCTGCCACTCAGCTTTTAGTTAGAATTTCTGTGATTTGCTCACTAATACAAATGAATTCTTATGAAAAGTATTGTTTGAGGATAAGGAAAAATATACGTAGTGAAAAGCTTCATAGTTTCTATACTCACCCACCTGCTATTTCTTTACAAACTGAAACCAAAGGTGCATGAAAGCTCAGCACGTACGTATGGCACACAGCAAGCAAAACAGTTTGTACGGTTTATTTAAAGTCTCTCTTTGCTATGGCATACACCAATCTTCTACACATTTAAACAACTACTTTCTAACTTTTACCTCTTCTTTAATACAGATTTTTAGCTGCTTTATTGGATGTTATAAGATGACAGTTAAAGCTGCTACAGCAAGTTTGTAAATGTGGAATTCTTGAAGGTAGCTACCAGAACAGATTAAAATGCCAAGAACCTTAAGGTTGTAGCCTGCCTTCCATAGTATATTTTTTTCAAGCACACTGCCACAAAAATTTAGTGTTAGTTTACGTTAGTGTTAGTGGACATCCTTTTTATAGTTTTTAACACGTACCACGGAAGTGAGGAAGAGAAGAGCTTTTAATTCTGCAGACTTTCCCTTACGACAACCCTTTTGCTATATTGCAACATTTTGCTATATTAGCTCATTTTCAATGCTGCTTCTAGTAGTTACATGTGTATTTCCATGATTTTCTTACAGTAATAAATATTACAGCTGAGAAACAGCTCTTGTCATTTTCTCCACAACTTCTAGTTACACAGTTTTTCAACGATTTTTTTCACCAACACTGACATGTGAGAGCTATAAATGTTTATTAACAGAGAACTTCACCCAGGGGCATGTATTCCACCTAAATGGATTCTCTTCCAGTACACCGATGCCTCACTGTGCAAGTCCCATACGGAGCATGAAAGTGGTTTTAATGCTTCACCAAAAACAGTATGGTTTTACGATGTTGCTTTTTAAGTAGAATAACATCCCTGTGAACGTTGAAGTTTGCTGCCATGAATACTCCCACAACAGCAAAAACTTTCACATCATAATTTGTGTAATTTAATAGAGTAACTTAAGATATTGAACTTTCCTTTTAAAACATAAACTTCTACACAACTGCAATATTATATTGCATGAAATTCTACTACCCAGACTGTAAAACTTCAATAGCCAGTATTTTTCTATCAACTTTTACTTGCACGTATTACGGTGTTACACTTGTTACTTCTTAAGTGACAGAAAGTAACACCTCTCTCAAAAATAGCCCTGTCTCTCCTGCCCATAATTTTCTATGCCAAAGAAACAATATCCTTTCCTAAGCAAGCATCAAAATATTTTGCCTGTATGGTTTGCTCATGAAAAATCATACATTAAACGACACTGAAGTTAATACTAACCAAAAGAATCCTCAAGCTCCTCAAGCTGATTTGCTTCCGCTATTTTCAATATCCTTGAGACATCTGGTTCCCCGGGTGGAAGCAACTTCCAGTGAAGATGGGAGCTGGCTTTGTGTTCCTGCATGGGTATGAAGTTAATAGTGAGTCCATCCAGCTTTTTGAGTGTAAAACAGATTAAATATGATGACGAATTTCAAGAGCATTTGACTACTAGAAATGCATTTAACCTGGACCATATTTACTGGCAAGCTACGAGATAAAGTATTTGAAGCATGTGGTTTTTCCTCAGGCTATGTTTTTTTCCCCTAAGAGAAGTAATGGTATAGAAGTGACATATTCTGCTATTTAATATTATACTGCAGCGTCAGCTTTGTCTTATTTTATAAAACTAAGTGTACAAGCTTAGAAATCTTACAACAATCTAATAGCTGGTATCTACGATCCGTAGCCTTTTTCTTTTCAGGCATCAAAATATTTCTTCTGTCATCTCTGTATGACGTGAATGTCCATCCCTGTCCAATTTAATGAGTCTCACTTTTTAAAAAAGCCTGAAAAGCTATGCATAACTTCTTATAAAAGGCAGAATTTGTAAGTCAAGTATTACCCACAAGCAGTAAAGCAAAAGAGTAGGGGAGAATGGCACTGGTTTATCAAATGTTTGTAAAAGTGCCATTCACACCCAAAGCCTGGGAGTGAATTTCCTCGCTCCTGCGTGTGTGTGCGCAGGGAAAGGGAATTACATGCAGCAAACACCAGCTTCCCGAGCTTTCAATTCCACCAGCGCTTCCCAGCGCCTCGCAGCTCTTTCCGCGGTACCCAACGCAGGCACATCAACCATTTCCGCTGCGAGCCGCTCTCTGATTTCACCAGACCGCTTCCAAACCCCCGCCTGTCCGCCAGCCAGCAGCCCGTTGACGGGCCTGGTGACGCACTGCTCCTACAAGAAGAAAATAAACCAGACAGGCCCCAAAGCGGCCCCGGCAGAGCCCCGCGCTCGCCTTCAGCGCCGCAGCGAAGCCGCCCAACGCCCGCTGGCCTCACCCCGCTCGGGCGGCAGAACTCACCTCTGATTTATTCCCGGAACGATCTCTCTTCGTTTTCTTCTTTGAGGACATTTCGCTGTTCAGTACAGGCTGCTAAATACACAACTGGGGATAAAGTCAGTGAAAAACTGTCCCTGACGCCAGTCCTCCTCTGTCTCACTAGCTGGGAGAGAGCGGGAAATCTTTGTTAACGCAACGTGCTGTGCATAACCCGCTTTAAAAGCGTTAAAACTCCCTCTCTTAGGCCAGCCCAGCCCAGCGCCTGGCGTAGCCCGCAGAAGTTAGCAATATAAATATAAATACAAAAAATACAGCAAGGCCGCGCAGAGCGCTGTTGCGCCTCTACTCTCGCCTCACAGCGGCCGCTTCCCTCCTGAGGGAGACCCCCGG